TGGGCAGTATTGTGCTTAACGGGTGACTTACAACAGGCATTTGCTAAAACTCATCTGAAGTCAAAAATTTGTACGTAGGAACAAAAATTTAAAAATCTTATTGAAATAAAATAATTCTTGTATTGTAAATTCATTAAAAACTTACTAATTTGTAATTGTGTTTTAATAAATATTATTGTTATTATGTTGTTTCACTTCTAAAAAGATACCTACATAACCTCATTTTAAATAAAACAATAAGACTGAGTTAATTTATTAGTTCCAGGAAGAAACCAAAAAATTAACACATTTCATACAATGAATGGCATACAAAAGTAATTTATTTTATTCTAATAAAATTTTAAAATTGGCACATCTAGATTTTCACCGGAACTCATTTATTTAAGTTACACAATATTTTGATTAATTTATTTGCCTAGAATACATTAAAATGTTATATGTACATGTTTTAATTTTTTTCTAAGTGTACATCGCTAATTTGTAATTTTATAGTTTACTTTTCTCCGTGTAGAAATAAGCGACAAAAACGTCAACTGTCATTGAAAATCTGACCACCCCGACATCAAAGAAGCCGACGCAATCTGTCGCTTCCGCCCGTGCTCCAGAGAACACAAAAGTCATAAAACCGAAAAGACGAGAAAACGGAAGTACGAGTCGGCCATCGAGAAACCATACCAGTCACTTCGGAGTGGTACTGGTGTAGCCAGCAACTCGAAAGAACGGACTTAAGAATTAATTAGGCATTCCAAACAAATGAATTACCAGTGGGCAGGTTTGGTATATCTAAGGGTGGCGACATATGGTGTATTCTATCTACTTTACGTAAAATCATGAATAATGGATTACATTTAAATATTTTATGTCAAACACAATAAAAATAATATTTAAAAAACCCACCTATACATTTCTTCATAAATTGGCAGGCTTGGCGAGTACTACTTCGAATAAAAATAACGTCCAAGTTGCAAGACTATGTCGCTACCCCCTTAAATATAAAAGAATTTCCCACTGGCACCTATTGTTTGACAGGTCGTTGGAATGCCTAATTGAGAAACGTATCTGGAGTGCGTTTAGAAACCTCGCACGGCGCGTCTGGACCCTATTCTAATGTATGTTGGCAGGCGCGCCGTGCGAGGTTTCTAAACGCACTCCTGTTGTCAAGTTGAATGATAGTGACAGTTACTTGGAAACAGGTTAGAAATATGTCAATAAACAATATTATTAAATTTATTAGGACTTAAAAGGTAAAATAGATGACTAAAGGAAATAAATAATTAGAGATTAACGAGATTAATGTACACTTTAAAAGTAGGTAACACGATTAAACCATGGTATTTATATTTAAAATACAATTAATTTATTTGTGATAAAAATGACTAAACGAATGGTATTTGTTAATGAAATACTATTTAATTTATTTGTAATAGGACTAAACCAATGGTATTTATAACTGAAATACTATTTAATTAATTTGTGTTAAAAAAGACATACTTTTATTCTCAAAATTTAGTAAAAATCTTAAACGATAATCCATATAAATTTGCTATGTCTCACGTTCATTAAATTATGATTATTTTCAGTGCATATGAACGTTACACGGTTGTTTTTTATTTATTACCTGATAAATCAAGTGAAATATATTACAATGTATTCCTCCTTTTAAGTAATAAGTGTAAAGCTTTTGGTTTAAATTTTAAACCAATAGAGATTGTGGTAGATTTTGAATTAAGCATTCACAACGCAATATATAAATATTTTAGGAGGGATCTTATTCTTTTGGGTTGAAAATTTCATCTCTGCCAAGCATGGTTTCGGAAAATCCAAGAATGTAATTTAGTTCCGGAATATAAAGAGGAAAACTCTGTGATTGGTAGATATTTAAAACTTCATTTTGGTATGATGCTCCGCCTCAGTTCTGAGGAAGTTGTAGATTTTTTTAATGAAGAATTGCACTATTTGCTACCAAATGATAAAAGAGTAATTAAATTCCGCAATTATTTAAAACAAACATATGTCAACAATTTATCAATATTCCAACCAAATATTTGGGCAAATAGTGCAGATTTTTTTAAGAGGACTACTAACGCATGTGAAAGTTTTCATTCGCATTTTAATAGCTCCTTTTATAAAGCACACCCCAATATAATGCATTTTACACGTATATTGTTAGATTTCCTAGTAGAGACTTATTCAAAAATGCGGTACGCTAACAATAATCAGAAAAAAACTAAAAAAAAAAAATGTCCAAACGAAAGTCAACACAATACAAGAAAATATTAAAAAATATAAAAATAAATATATTTCGCGGTTTATGTTTGTTAAAATAATGTCATTTAAAAATCTTCCCAATGTCTAATTTCATTTTACTTATATTTTATTATATTTGTAATTTTCAATTAACTGTGTATTGCAATTTTGTATTCTTGTGATTTTTATACTAATTTTATACTGTTTTTTTTTTTTAATAAATTCGAATATTTTCATAATAAGTTGTTTTTTTATATTATTTCATATTTTTATTCATGTATGTATGTAGCTATGTAAGTACCACAAATAGTAAACAATATCAGCAATGTCTTGGATATCTACATTGATAATATCTTAATCGGATCGGAGAGACCCTCTAATGATTTAGGAACCCAATCTCTAAAACTGTAATCCGTGCAGAGTTCGCATATCAATTTTTCTTTACCTGAAGTTTGTGGCAGAATTCGGAAACCCCGATAAATTAAACGTGTGTTTAACAATATTGTAAAAAGGTTTAATTATGCGGAAACAGATTTGTTTGCCACAAAACTAAATTAGAAAATGTTCAAGATTTATTTCATGGTTTCCAGTCCTAGAATCTGAATGCATTTATCTTAGATTGGCTAATAGTCAGGATATTATGCCTTTCCTCTCTTTTTACTATTATGTTTGCTTATCTCTTCTTTTAAGAAGAGCCATTCACGCCACAACAAGATTTCCCTGGTGCCAAGGAAATTATTCGAATCCTTCCTGATGGTGAAATACATTATGAAGGGTATAATAAATCTAATATTTACATGAAATGAAATATATTGAATATATTAGTCTAGGTTGAGGCGCATGATAATTTTAACGTCTCTAACAGTAGGTGCTTATCTATGGTAGGTGCCCTAAATCAATATGATGATTAAACCCATATATCGTTAAAAAGGATAGAAATTAAAAACTCTGATAGAATAAAGATGAGACATAATATCAAGGAAACACAATTGTTTCGTAATAGGGAGCAACATGCCATACTGACTAGTATACGCCACGCATTAACATTTGCTGCATTTAGGGTAGGTGTAAGTATTGGATAGATAAGAAATATCGGAGGTTAGATACCTTCTTCTATAACATTTTTTACATTTTAAAACTATAAAAGAACGCAATGACATATTTGCTAACACTATCACTATTATTGATTTGGAAATTAAATGAATTATTTCACCTATTCTTAAATTGTGATCGTACAATAATTTTATTATTCGGTTAGAAAACTTTTCTGGAACATTTAGTGATTCTTCAACCTTATAGTGGGTTCCAGTTTTTATATAGGTAATACATTCTTTTACATGAATAAAGGAATTAAAAAAAATGAAATTAGATATTTATTTATTTTCACGAATTGGACTTAGGTGTGTTATTTCAGCTTTCTAATTTAGTCTTTACTTATTTCCAAGTATTTTTCCAGTGTTAAAAATACCTAGAGTGTTTTTATAAGTGATCTTCAGTTAAATATAGAGCTAAATCTAATTTGTCTTTGTCCTGCTTTCAATAAACCAATAATTGATCTTTATCAAAGTACTTTTTTATGAAAAAAATTAAAAAGTACTTGAAGATTTCCGCGAATTCAGTTGATAGATAAAGCTTAATTAATTATTCTTTTATATGTGTTATTGTTATTTTCCTTGCAATTAATCTTCAACCAATAAACATCTTCCGACGGGGATGACCCTCAAAAATTTTAGAAAACACACTGGAAGTTTCGTAAATTTCCAAAATCCGAAGATAAAGTAACCCCAAAAAGAATAAAAATCTAATTATTTGTAAATAAAAAAATTAAAATTTATCTAAGAAACACTTTTAGGCTATGCGAGAGGATAACCTTCGAATGCCCTTTCTGATTAAAAAAACCAATAAACAACCATAACAAAGATGTTTCGAAACAATAACAAAAATGTAGATTTCGCATTAATTTTAAAAATTGAATAATGTTTTGCGCTATATTTAGATGATAACGGACTTTTTTATTTAGAGTTTAGTCACCTCATTACGATTGGGTGCGACACCCCCCAATTGCGTAAAAACAAGCAGTAAGTGATAATCATCAACAGTGATTTTTTATGATATAAAAAAGTTATGGTATATTATAAATGTAATTTGATTCTTTGTGAAAATTCAGAATTTTTTATGTTTTACTCCTGCGTTAAAGTTTTAGCTTTTGTAATAGTCCGATCAATATAGACATTTCAAATAACAAAAATTCCGACAGAGCTAAATTTTCGTACAGACCTTGGGTACACTAGTAGAAATAAAGTGCCACAAGTCCCCATTGATCCCATGAGTGTTAAAAAAGTTATTCAAAGTCAAAGTAAAAATTTTCGTTTTTTTTTTTTTAGATTTTTCTCGAAAACGGTAAGTTTTACCAAAAATATATCGCAGACAAAAATTGTAGATCATAAAATTATACTTTTTTTTCCTAAGAATCGCCATTCCTAACATATCGCCATTCCTACACATCGCCATTTCTAACATATCGCCATTCCTAACTCGTAAAAGTTGAAGGAGTTACATTCTACATGATATGCACACATTTCCACACTACCTATAAGGTAATGTACTTGACGTTCTTTTTTTTAAGTGGTTTCCCCTGTAGGCCTATTTCACGATCTGTTATGACGGGAGTTTTATGGGAAAATACTATATTTACTGCATGATATTGATATATGTGATTATTTTAAACTGTAGTTCTAATTTATGTTAATATTTTAATCTGATTCATACTCTTCAAATTCTACTTCAACAGTCATGTTTTCTTCGATTTCTTCTTCTTCTTCTTCTTCTTCTTCTTCTTCTTGCTGGATGTCCTTAAATTGTTCAACTAAAGATGAATTAGCAGTCTCTTCATCGATTACAAACGAATCTTCGTCCATAACATTCAAGCAAGACTGGCCTTGGCAATTAGTACACGCTGGTGAACACGACAACCCTAATCTTCTACAGCCACATTTAGCACTACAATCTTTTTTACCATTGCAAAAAATAGTGTTTAGGAGTTTTTCCGGATAGTTTGAAACGGTTCCAAAATATTGTCTGTTAGTTTCCAACCCCAGTCTTTGAGGTTTAGTTGATTGCCTAGCCATGTCTGAACTTGATAGAATGCTCGATACAACTTTTGATGAGCAGAAGCCGATGTTGGAGGAAGACAAGGTAGTTGTTCTTGTTTCTTGTTCCGTGTATTTTTTATAAAAGTTAAATATCTATACTTTTCTTTGGAGCTCCATAAACAGCAAAGAGAAAACGAATTCCGTTTGTGATTATTGTTTGGTGAGAAGAGTCAATTTCTTCAAATACTCTAGCGCAATCAATTAAATCCATTGTTTCAAATAGTTTTAATACTGATGTTTTATCCCTGCTGAACATTGCTGACGTAGTATCGCAGCCGGTTATCGCACGTAAAAATAAAATATGGTTTTGGCATTTTGGATAAGTAGATAAACTTTTTGAAGAGTATATTTCTGTTTGCTGTTGAGTCTTTCCAGGTTTTAGGAAGCATATAATTTTATCAATTGGAGTCCGTGCAGTAAGAAGTACTAACAAATCAACATCTTCACCAACCACAACAGTTGTGTTTGTTGCATTGAGTTGTTCAATTGCCGTTTCATTTATGAGGACATCAGCGTCATTTTGAGCTTGTTTAACTGCGATATTTTCAGTGGTCACTTAATATGAAAATGAAACGAGATTTATTATAAATGTTAGCAAGAAATTGTTGTTGGTTTGCTGGAACTGTCATAAATTGGTCAAAGATGATGTTGGAACATGAACATTTTTTCGTAGTCCGAGACGTTGTTCTGCAGCTTTAATGTCTGTGTAGATACTGAACGCATTTTTCGAAAATAACATTGAAGGTTTTTTCTCGATCCCACACAACGTGATGTAACAGATATCCTCCATCGATAATGAAAGTAGCGTTTGTAGTGTCAACATCAGCATTGACTGATTTAAAGCAATCATAAATGGCTGACTTTGGTGTCATTCCAAATGCATCGAAGAGTAATAAAAGGTAAGGGGCTAATTCAAACTCAAAATTTTTTTCAATTTCATCCTTGAACGTCTTAGTGATACTACATGGTCTATTGGTATCTCTTTTTCGTGGTGCTACTTACGGCTAAAAGAGGGATTACTTTTTCAGAGCGTTTTAATGTAATATTATTAAACGTTTGACCTATCAGTTTGAACATGAAAACAATCCCAACTTCAGCTTTATAACACGACGACGACTCCACTAGCAACATTACAAGAACTTCCAATTCTTCACACACATTATTCATAGCATGCATTCCATAAAACCATTTCCTTATTACACTTTCTTTCGTTCCTCTTCCCCGAAAAATACCTCCATCTGTCTTCATCGATTTCATCATAGATTGTTCTATTATTATGTCCGTCGAAGTTTCACAACTAAAATTTATCAGAACGTCAAACAGTGAAAAATCCTTCTGTGAACCTTTGATAAACACTAGAATCAATTACCTCCCATAATTAAAGCATATCTTGCAAATATAAGTGCGCTGACTTAGCATAAGGTAAATGCCCTGATGCGTGGAAATAAGGAAGCATTTCTTTAACACTGTTCAAATAAGCTTGCCAATCATCCATACGTTTAGCTTTTATAAACTCCTTTGCAATGGACACCATCCAAAAATATTGTGTTGTAGGTCCTCGTTTTTGATATTAATTTAGTTTTTGATTGAACCAATGAAGTAATTGTCCAGCTGTTTCGTCATCTTCTTCAATATGATAGTATGAAAGAGTGTTATTTATAATATTTTCAATAGTAATAATAAGATTTGCATCCAACACGTCATCAAGAACTAGTTCTTTAGATATTATTGTTAAAGTGAGCTGAAGTAATATGTGAGCTCGAACTGCCCTCGCGTAAGCATGGCCATTAAGCAATTTTTCTAATGATTTAGGTGCATAAATCTCAGATAGTACTTCTTTTATACCACTCCCTTGCATAATATAACCTATTGCTCCAAAAAACGACATGAGTAAATGAAATACTCCCAGTCTTACTAAGATCTTCGATAATTCAGATCCTTCAGGTGCAGGAGATACGATTTCTCGAGCTTTTGCATACAAAGGTTGATCAAAAGTAATGATGGATACTTTGTGGTTATAACGTGTCGATTGCGATTCTATTATAAGAGACTGATGTGAGTTTCTTTAGAGTGTATATTCTCAAAATTGTATGATTTAAACATATAAGAGATATAAATAGGCATTTTTACTTATATTAAGTGCCTGACTATGTATATACGTGGTATTTGTGTGCATATCATGTGGAATGTAACTCCTTAAACTTTTAGAATGGCGATATCTTAGGAATGGTGATTCTTAGGAAAAAAGGAATTTTTGTCTAGGTTATATTTTTGATGAAACTTACCGTTTTCGAGAAAAATCTAAAAAACCGAAAATTTTGACTTTGACAACTTTTTTAGTACCCATGGGATCAATGGGGACTTTTGGCACTTTATTTCTACTGATGTACCCAAGGTCTCTACCAAAATTTAACTTTGTCGGAATTTTTGTGTCTAAATTGACCGGAGTATAAATACTGAATCCAAATGTTACTTTTCTGTTCTTTTTCGTGCTTGTAACAATGGGGCTAGAAGGGACGCATTTTGTTTGATTTTGGAGACCAATTGCATTAATTTACTTAAGAGAATATTAAAAAAGCTTACTTTTCTTTTAAAATTCTTGCATTCTTATTATATTTTTACAGGGTGCACTCAAAAATTAAGATTGAGCCATGCCATTTTGTAGTTTGCTGAAAAAGATTTAATACAGAAGAGAGTAAGAAATTAAATATTTGTTTTATTTTGTTACTTTGATTTGATTCTGTCATTTAAATACTTATTAATAATAATTATTTTATTTAAAGTTTGTACCATAAAGCTAAAAAAAATCTATTTGCATTTATTGCAATTAATAAAGTATGTTTAATCAAACTTTTTTTTAACAAAAGGTACTTTAGGCTAGAATACATGAATTTCACAGAAATATTTTTACATTCTTGTACAAATAAAGAAAAATGGCAAGTAAATTAATATAAATTACATCATTCTATAAGGACATAATTTTATTTTTTTTTTTAATTCTGTATTAAATGTTTAATATATTTTCTATTAATTTGTTGAAAAAAATATTTTTTTTTTAATTTTACAGAAGAAGGTGCGTCTTTTAAATAATCAGGTAAAATATTACAGATTTTTGGACCTATACAGTATTAATTTCTTTTTTCCTCTACTTTTGTTCATTAACATAAATTGGTATTTTTTTTATTATTCATAAAACTAATGTAATGCAACTTAAACAAAACATTTTAATTTCAAGATATAATAGATCATTTGGGTACAAATACGTTAACATGTTTTTTAAGAAATTTCGAAAACATTTTTTTTGTTTATCATCCAGATATATTGACGTTTTTCTAAATCTAAATAATACGCAATGTAATATTTTTGTCAAACATTGTATTTGGTGTTCCAGTTTAAGGAGATCATCTTTTCGTCAATATATTTTCTCCTTTTTGACAGGTTTTATTACAAGATCTTGTTAGATGTTTAGCTTGTACTCTGGTATGGATCTTTCTTGTCTGTTTGCATTTTATAATTTACTATTAAATAATCTACTTCTAAAACTATTTTTATAATTAATTACTCGTTTTCAACTTTTAGCTTTAGATTGTACCAATTTAACTTTTATAATATAATACAGTAACATAAAATAAATAAAACTTAAAACCATATGGTACACAAAATATGAGCGACCGTTTCCGTCCGTAAAACAACTATTCCTATGGCTAATACCGCAACAGGTATTGAATTTTAATCAAAGGAAAGACAGCAGAGAAAAATTAAATTTTAACACTCTTTCAAGAACCAGTGACCGAACCCCACCCCCATCAAGCTTCACCCAGTCTTTGAGCTTTGTAGCACAGCTTATACAATACAGCTCCACAACTCCGTGTCGGCGTCTTTGATCTGACGGTCGAGAACCAAGCAAGACGGAATGGTGCTCTCTGTTAGATTAAAGGGAAAAGTCGGGCCCGGATTAAGCAATTTTTTTATTATTGAAAAAATTGAAAACCTTGACGTAATAAGGTTGGTTACATGCCATGTTAAGTAAGTTTTGGGAAATTAAATATTTAATTTGTTTTAAATCTGTCAAATATAATTAAAAAAATTATTAAAATATAAATATTACGAAAAATAGCACATCTTTCGGATTAGAGGTAAAATAATTTGTATGTGGCTAGTAAAATCCTCGTTAACAAATGTTTTGAGCTAAAACAGTCACTTCACGACAAATTGTGACTTGGATCCTTTTTACACCAAGGGCTTCAATTGTTAAAGAAATGTGTCACGCTCGTGGATGCAAATCAAGTGGTACCCCGTGTCTCTGGCAAGTGTTACTCTTCGCGCAAAGGGTTTTATACCTAGATAAACGAATGCTTCGACTGAGGTCTGGGAACTCTATGGTATTTTGGAATTATAAAGAATTTGTGCTTTTATTTTAACAATATTGGTTATATTTAGATGTATTCTTATTAATTGAAATACAGATTTGTAGAAGTAATACTTTAACAGTTTTTATTAATATAATATATTCAATTTTTATCTGACCATACCGAAGTAGGGAATTTTGAAACTTTATAGTAATGTGAAATTTGAATTACAACATTACACGATATTACATAATTAGTACTTATTTTAGGTAGGTACTAAATTTGTACTTGGAGAAAGTAATATCGATTTTTACAAGAAAACTTGAAAAGTAAATTAATTTAGTTCTTATTTCTGATGTAAAACTTAAACCAAGAAAACAAATAAATTGTAGTTTGTTCAACAAGGGTGGATATGATAGCCATATCACACAAAGACGAAGTTTGAGCACGACGTCGTAGGTGGAGTACTCAATCGTCTGATTGTGATATGAACAATCCACTCGATATGGTCAGTATATTTTTTTTACGACCCACTAACGAAAATCTACAAATTTAAAAAATTATTTTAGGTTATTTAGACAAAATAACTAATTTTAAAATAATTTACGAAGTTGACTAATTTATAAAATAAAATAAACATGAAAAATTAATTAGTCCTCGGCCTAGATTCGATCTCGGGCTTTTCGCATGGAAGGCAGATGTTCTGTCCTCATCTTCACCGAAACTTTCAGGACTTTAGTTTTAATACTCGTGATTAAAATTTATTTTTTTTTAAATGTGGACATAATAAAAACAAAAATTTTAATGTATATTTAATATCAATAACTAAAATATATATTGACAATTAGTTTAACAGAATTATCATTTATTTAAAAATTTTTAAATAATAGGAGTTGGGTGACCAAAATATGAACTGTGATTTGTAGATTTAATTTTGTTAAAGTGTTCTCACTACCTAAAATGGATATGAAATATATTCGTAGTTGAACGCAATAACATAATTTTTCGTTTTGTAGTATGTGCGTAGATTGGCTAATATCCATGCACAGATTACAAAACGAAAAAGTATGCTATTGCCTTCAATTGAACGAATATATTTCATATCCATTCTAGGTAGTGAGAACACTGCAAAAAAAAAATAAATTCGCCAATCACCGTTCATATTTTGATCAACCGACTGCTATTATTTTTAAAATTTTAAATAAATGACAATTCTGTCAAACTAATTGTCAGTATATTTTTTAGTTATTGAGATTAAACATACAATAAAATAAGTTATTCTTTTGGAAAACGTTAGCATGGATGACTAAACGGTATTGGGTTAATTAATTCTAAAAGTGTGGTACAAATGTTATTTTTTGTAGCCAATTCTTCAAAATTATTTTAAAATATCTTTTCAATATTGA